GTGAGGCACACATGGCGAGACACAACCACCAGCCTCTTGAGAACCTTCAAACAATTAGCATAAACATATTGGACCTCCTGCATCTTGTCATGAGGAAGGGCCCCCCACCTGGCAGCTTCCTCCGCAAAGTGGTCGGCAACATTGGCGACTAATCCCTGGGGGGTCGGGAGGAGATCACAGATATCACGATACACAGGATGCCCTGTAGCCCAAGAGACTGAGCCACTACACATACGCATCTCCAATTCATCCCACAAAAACTGCCAGAGATCACACATGCACGACTGTCCAACTGCCGCTCCAGACCTCTCAAAGGCCTGAGCGATAGGAAGGACATCGGTATAGAGCCTGGCGCCGCCTTCAACTGGGCGCAGAAGCTGAAGAGCGTACACCACCGCACGTGAGAAAGATGGATCAGGCCCTGGGAGGGCCCCGCAGAGACGCAACTCCCTGCAGGAATCCTGGTCGGAGGTGGACAACAGACCAAACACGACGTCTCAGCCTCCGATCCAAAGCCTGGGCCCCACCAGGCCCATAAAAGCGCCTCCAGGAACGAGCCCCAAGCCCAGGCATTCGCATCGGGAGCAGGGAGAGAGCACCAAGAGTCCACCCAAGAAACACCAACCCTCGAGTCCCAAAGCACTCGGAATCAGGACTGCCTTCACGGGAATCTTGATACTTATGGGCGGTGTGGTGGAGGGAAACATCATCAATCTCAGTATTAGTTTGGCACTCCCAAAACCTATGCCAAGGTGTTTCAGGGCGCCCTCCACATCGAGGACACATCCCAATACTGGCATGTCCAGAGTCCTTCAGGCGCTGCTTTGGCCACTGGGCAACAGCAGCAAGGTGATACAAACTAGCGACTCCATCGTAGTCACCTTGACGCGCCAGCACCTTCCGCAGATGCCTAAAGGTGGTAAAGCCAACCCCTTGTTGCAAACCTTGGCCCCCATAAGCCTGCGACGCCTGGCCCCCGAGGGCCGTCCCAACATGTTTTTAAACCAGCTCCCACAGGTGGAAAGGGAAATCCCGACGCTCAACACGAAGCATGACATGGGGAAATATCAAAGGGTGGGCTCCGCAGGATTACCGTTCAGTTCGAGCACACAAACAATAACAGCCGCAATGGGGCCGCGGACATGACGCCAACGATTGACCCTAGGGACACCACACAACTTGGCAAGGATGCGAGGCCAGACGCGAAACACCGTTTGGCGTTGGCCAGGATCAAAGGCAACCCACGTGCAGCTCCATTCCAGAAGATGCTCACATCGAATCTTATAAGCAGGGTCATCGGGCATGGCTCTGTCGAGCGCAAGAAAGGTGGTCGTGCAAGCTCCTGGATGCCACCGTCCTGAGACCTTCGCAGCCTGCGCGCGAAGCTTGCGCAGATGCGATGGAGGCGTTCTCAGGACTTGGTGACTCCGCATCGCGACAGCAACAACTCCTGGCTTAAGCAACTTCCGCGTTCGAAGGCTCCAAACCCATGGCGGTAAGGCGATGTAACATGGTAACAACCACAACTGCGACATGCCCTTGCTTAGCACCGCTCCCCCAAAAACCCAACATTGAAGCGTCCACATGTTGTCCCTGGCCTTTGGCCTACCGCCCAAACCCGTCAATTTCGAATGTGGGGGAAGCGGGGTATATATTTCGGTCCGCGGTGCTTTGATAACTCCAGGTCAGGGCGAGACACGTGTGCACACTTTGAGTCCACCCACCGAGGGGGGCCCCCGTGGTTTTCGGGCCCAAGCTCGGACCTTCAGCAGCCATTCCAGACAGCCCGGGCACCCCGGGGCACGCTCTCGACGGGGCGCAGCCGCGGGAAAGAGAGGGCCCACAGGCGGAACGAAAACTCTGGGGGCCGACGAAACATTGGAGGCCTTGGCGAAGGACCCGAACCACTGTTACTCGGTTCGTGATGGGGGGCCACGATTATGCGAACTACCATTAGGTCGGGCCTGCCCCCCCTACAAGGGGATTGTCGACGACAAATAAAACACATCAAATGATCCCGGAGAAAAACCCAATCAGGGCTACAGGGCTAGGGGGCTATAGGACTATTAGAGCTATAGGGCTATAGAGTTGTAAGGCTATAGGGCTATTGGGCTATTGGGCTATAGGGCTTAGGGCTATATGGCTATAGGGCACCCCCGGGCACCCGGGCACCCCGGCACCCCCGGGCACCTCCAGGGCACCCGGGCCCCGGGCACCCCCGGGCACCCGGGCAACCGGGCGTGCAGCGAAAATCGGCGACAAACCTAACCTAACCATATGAATACGCTAGGACCGCTACAGAGGCAAGCTCTGATTGGGGAGAGATGCCCAAAAGATGCCTCAAAATACTCAAAAAATAGTCCCCAGACTATATCTTTACTATTTTTGAATATTCCCCTGTCGAGGGACAGGCCCGACTTACAACTAAGAATGACGAAAACATAAAACCTCAGAGGCCCGCGCGGATTCCTCGGATCGGCGCTGGACCCCGCCCTAGAACCAGCTTCGCTCAGCTCCTCCTGGGGGGCCACGATTGGCCACCGATCCCGGGTGGCCCCAGCCCCCCACCGCGCGCTACAAAAAATAGAGGCCTCCTAGATGGGGTCCGAGTAGATGGGGTCGAAGGATTTGGAGGTTTTCGTCAATGCATCGGCGATGCATCGGCGATCGTCGGTGATGTCGGCAATGCATCGGCGATGTCGGCGTGGGAAGCACGGTCTCCACATCGAGCCGCATCGTCGATGCATCGGCGATGCGGCGCGATCCTCCGACCCCATCTACTCGGACCCCATCTCCCAGACCCCCGACGTCATGATTTTTTCATGACGTCGACCCCCCGAGGTCTCGACCCATTGCCCAGGACCGGTTTTTCGTCCTGAGTCGTTTTTTGACGGTCCCGAGGGCCGGTAAGGGCCCCCAAAGGCCAAAAATAATGAAAAACCTCCCGTCGTGATTTTTTCATAACGCGAGGGGGTCTGGGCTAGGAGGCCCAGAAAAAACCCTACAGGCGGGGTCCAGGGACAAACGACACAGGCACGAGCTGCCGGAACTCTGCTCCCGAGAGTTCTGGGATCGGCGCGGGCCTCCAAGCCTTGCTGCCTCTGCTGGCTGCCCTTCGTCTGCGTGGCCTCTTCGGGCCCCCTTCCTGGCGGGGCGGGCGAGGCCGTGGCTGCCCACAAGTGGCTGGCGGGCGGCGAGGCTTCCTCGGAGCGCCGGCGTGAAAGAAAGGGGGGGGGACCCAGACCGGAGTGCCACCGGCAGGAAGCCGGGCTCGAGCCAGGACCCCATGAGGAGGAGGAGGAGGAGGAGGAGGAGGAAGAGGAGGAGGAGGAGGAGGAGGAGGAGGAGGAGGCTGCAGGCACCAGAGCCCCATCGTTGGAGGCCTCGGCCCCTCCCGCGGCCCTGCATGCCCCCAGGTCCTGCCGGGCTGCGGCCCGCGTAGGCGCTCTTGCGGCCCCCTCTGGATGCCGCAGCTCCTCGAGGGGGGGGTGCAAGAGGGGCAGCAGCAGAGAGAGAAGAGGATTGGCGGTGAGCCCAGGGGGGAAGGCCAAGGGGGCGCGGCTTCTCAGATGGCTCAGAAGGCCCCCAGCCTTTGGAGCAGTTGTTTTTAATCCCTTGCCGAATGTACAGGCGGCTTCTCAGAGGGCGAGAGGGCTCCTGAGAAGCCCAGCCGCCTTCTGAGAAGGCCCTGCCCCCACTCACTTCTCCCCTAGAAACGCAGCCGAAAGGCGGAGAGGGGCGGATGAGAGATGGATGAATGGGACACGAATGAAGTACGGGGAGGTGCGGTATGAAAGGAGGGAGGACGAGGAGGATGAGGAGAAGGGTGATGGTGATGATGATGGCGATGAAGAGAAAGGCGACGAGGACCCGGACGAGGACGATACTGGTGATGAAATGATGAGGATGGTCCTGCTGATGTGATGATGATGGTACTGATGGTGGTGATGATCGTGGTTATGCTGATGTTGCACATGATGATGCGGGTGATGATTGTGCTGATGATGGTGATGGCTATGATGATGATGATGACGGTGGTGATAATGAATATGCGGAGTATGTTAGTGATGGTGGGAATGATAATGGAGGGCAGTGGCGATGACGATGCCGATGCCGACGACGACGACCACGACAAAACGATGCTGCTAATGGTGACGATGGCGAATGGTGATGATTTCCCCCCCAACAGGCGCCGAAACTGCTGAAATCTTTACTTGTTCCGTGATCGGAGAGCGACGAGGGAACGAGGGAGGAAATGAGGACGACGAGGCCGACGGGGAAGCAACGACGACCCCCAAACGCAGAAACGACAACGCAGGAGGTCAGGAAATGAGAGAGGAGACGACAAAACGACAAGAACAAATGACAATAGAAGAGCGGGCCCGTGGCCTCACCTCGGAGACGAAGCCGCCTAACACCACATATTCTCCTAAAAAGAAAGCCCCCGGCTACATGAAAGCATAATCGAACCCACATTCACGCTGAACCCTTCCAACTGGGCATCATCTTGCGCATAGCATCCCCTAACTTCTGGTGGTACTTCACCAGCGACGCATTCGGCACGAAAGCGCCAGCCTCCTCCATCAAACCCAGGATATCGGCAGGCAGGTCACCCGCAGGAAAACCACCAACATCCTGAAGACCGTCCAGATGACCGGCATCACCACAAACATCACCCCGAACATTTCCAGCACGCACACCGAAGAACGGCAAGGACATACCCATCGCCCCGAAGACCCCGAACACCACGAAAATCACCAGGAAGAGCCATCCCCGCGGCGATCATCAAAAAAAGGTCTCCAGTATCGCGAAGATCAACCGGAAAATCCCCCGGGCCCCGAAGAGCACCAGCACCAGCACCACGGAGACCAGCAGGAAGGTCACCAGCAACGCGAAGATCGACAGGAAGATCCCCTGCACCCCGAGGACCCTCAGCACCACGAGAATCACCAGGAAGATCCCCATCACCCCGAGGATCGGCGGGAGAAAGGCCCCCAGCATCACGAAGACCGGCATATCCCCAGCGCCCCGAGCCCCAGCGCCGCGGAGATCAGCAGGAAGATCACCAGCACCGCGAAGATCGGACGGAAGATCACCCCCAGCATCGCGAAGATCCGCAAGTAGATCAGCATCACCTTCCACGGCGCGAAGATCACCGACCCCGGCAAAAATCCCAACGCCACAAAAACCGTCAAGAATGACCCCAGCACCATGAAGATCGACAGGAAGACGAGCGCCTGCCCCCCGAAAGCCGGCAGGATGCCCCCCACCGCCCCGACGATCCCAAGCCCAACCGAAATCACCAGGAAGAGCCCCAGCACAGCGAAGACCAGCAGGAAGAAGGCCCCCAGCAACACAAAGATCAGCATGAAAACCCGCTTCAACCCACTCAGAACGAAGATCACCAGCGCCACGAGCATGACGAAGACCCGCACGATGATCCCTTGGGCCACAAAGATCAGCAGGATGAAGATCACCTGCACCATGAAACTCAGCACGCACATCCAGCGCGACGGTCCCCAACATCACGATGATCCGCAGGAAGATCCCTAGCCCCACGAAGACTGGCAGGACGAATATCATCATCACCACGAAACCCACCAGGAAGATCGCAATCTACCAATGCAAGGGCCCGATGTAGGTTTCCGAATGTGTCCATCAATTGTTTCATCATCTGCTCCGTGGCGCTGGATCAATATGGACCGCCGTGTTGCGAAAAACTGTCGCGCAGGCAGACAGAGACGTTGTGGCCACTGTCTGCGTACCAACGCTGTGGGATCCGTCAGAGATGTCGAAGAAATCTGGCAACGCGTCGGACCCTTTTCGCAGAGACGCGATTGAGCTGACCAGGAGCCCCTCATTGAACGGGAATGCAGGCACGGGGGGAAGGTCGTCAAGAAACAGTAGACAGCGGTGCCGAGCCTGCTTAGAAGCACGAGCGCCAACCTGACCGCCATCAGCAGCATCGTCATCAGCAGGGGGCCAAGAATGGCGAGCGAGCAACCGGCGTGGTTGAGTGGCATCATCAGGCATCCTCATCACCATCATCCTCATCACCATGATAATCGCAGTCGTCATCACCATCTGAATCACAACTCCCATCTGGCCCTCCGTCCCTGTGAGGCCCATGCGCTGCACGGTGTCCATGAGGCAGCCTGCGAGGTTAGAAGGAGAAGCAGGTGTGGGAAACGCAGTCAGTGCGTTTGTGGTTGTGATCCGCGACGATGTAGTTCGGCAAGCTCCCCAACAACATATGACAGATAGCAAGAAAACAAAAAAAACATATGACAGAACTGGATCGCCAGCTGACTATCGTACTCAGCGGAACGAGTCGGCACCAAACTCACGTGAATGCTCATCTTGCCCTCGTGTGCTCGCTTTCGGACCGCAGCAGGGCGCCCACCTCGAAGCTACTCTTGAATCCATGCCAAGCGGGACGCATGCACCATGGCGCAGAGGGGGCAGCAGGTGCACGCCTGGGGCCCCTGGGCAGGCATGCGCCTGAGCCAAAATGGCGATGATGATACTGATGATGATGTTTATGATGACGATGCTGCTGCTGATGATGATGATGGTGATGATGATGATGTTGATGATGATGGTGATGATGATGGTGTTGCTGATGTTGATGATGATGAAAACGACGACGATGATGATGCTGATGCTGATGCTGATGATGCTGATGATGATGCTGATGATGCTGATGATGCTGCTGATGCTGATGCTGATTATGATGATGCTGATGAAACGCTGCCCCAAGAGGTTCCCTGGGACCCAGACTGAAACAGAGGCACAAGATCCTATCGATGAGGCCACATGCTCACAACCTCCACGCTCCGCGAGAAGTCTTAGGAGGAGGAGGAGGAGGAGGAAGAGAAAGAGATTGTTGCCAGAAGGAGCTGGCAGCACAAGCATCTGCAAGCAGGGGCTGAGAGTGAAGGACAAGACTGCCAGACAGATTCCGCCTCCTACGAAAGCAAGGGGGAACAGAAAGGGGGCGGATGAGGACCTTCGAGAGTTCTCGCTGGCCGTCGCTGGCGGATCATGTGCCGATGAGTGCGGGCTGCGATCTTCGAACGAGGGAGAACGTTTGGCGCATGGGTGGAACCGTCGAGCTGGAATCGGCGATACACCGCCGATACATCGGTGACAAGCTCCCGATAGCGAATCCAGGCGTTCCTGTGCAGGGTATCCTTAGGTCGGACATGTCTCCCTACAGGCGGATGTTGGACGACACATTACAAAATAGCCAAAACAGAACATTCAAACATCGTCGAAAATACTCCAAACATCGTCCCCGTACTATTCTTTGACTCTTCTTGAATATCCCTCCTGTAGAGGGAGAAGGCCAGAATCAACGATACATCGCCGACACATCGGTGACAAGCTCCCGATAGCGACTCCGGACGCTCCTGTGCGGGGTAGCCTATCGGGCCCCTATCGGCGATGAATGGGCGGTGGCGGGTCGATGCGCCCCTCCAGAGCCCATGCCAGCGGCCTGGGAAACCCGTCGAGAGAACCAGCGAAGAATCCTGACAACCTCGAGTCCCGACACCTGACGTCCCCCCCCAGCTAGAGGCCTCCTAGATGGGGTCCGAGTAGATGGGGTCGAAGGATCGCGCCGCATTGTCAATGCATCGCCGATGTATCGGCGATGCATCGGCGACGTCGGCGATGCATCGGCGACGTCGGCGTGGGGAAACAGGGGCTCCACATCGAGCCGCATCAGCGATGCATCGGCGATGCGGCGCGATCCTCCGACCCCATCTACTCGGACCCCACCTGGGTGGCCTAGACCCCCTGAGCCTCTCCTCGGCGGCGAGCGAGGAGGGGGGGAAGTGATAAGTTTGCTGCGCCTTCGGGGAAAACTTAGAGATCTCCTCAGCAAGCTGGAGGATTTCCGAGCCTTCTGTGAAGGCCCGCCTCCCGGGCTGGCCGCCGACCTGAGCCTGTCCCCACTAACGTTGCCCCTGAGAATGAACGCGGGCTGCGACCTTCCGCAGCGGCGGTGAACGACGAGGGCGCCCCGCACGCATCGCGTGCGCGGCACTGTCGCGCCGACTGGTCCTCGGGCTTGCCAGGGCCTGGTCAGGAGGAAGAGGAACAGGACGAGAGGTACGGACAATCCACGATGGCAACCAGAGGAATCAAAAACTGCACAAGCATAAGATTTTACAGGTCCGCGCGGATTTCTTGGATCCGCAGTGGACCCCCCTCCATGGCGCGCGGAGCGCGCCAGGGGCGGCGCCAGAGGCGCCGCCAGAAGTGCCCAGCGCAGATCCAAGAAATCCGCGCGGAGCGCCGAACATCTATGTTTATCCGGTTTGTCGTTCTTCGAGCAACCAACTCGTGACATGATGGACGGTATTCCCAGTGTTCTTGTACAAAACGTGATCACGGCTCGTTCTCTCTCACTGTCACTCGTGGTGCAATTCAGCTGCCCCCCGCTCCCGCCCCCAAAGAACCGAAAAACGAATGTCCACTTCCGTCCCATCTACTCCCGCTCCCTTTCGTCGGGGCCCACCAAAGGGGGGGAGACCCTGAGGGCGGGGGTGAGTTCGATCCGCTGGTGCATCGAATTTCCGAAAAACGATGCACCCCGCGCGCCCCGATTGTCGACGCCTCTCGGGTTCCGGCGGCGGCCGGAGACCTCGTTTTGCATCGTTTTTTCTGCGGTTCGCTGCACCAGCGGACCGAACTCTGCGAGATCCTGATCTCTGGCCTCCCGGGATGAGGGGCAAACCGAGGGGGGAGCCCGACATGGCCCCTGGCATGCCCACGAGCGCGCTCAACTGGGAACAGCAGAACTGCAAAGGCAGAAAGTCTCGGAGGCTCGCACGGATTTCTTGGCGTGGGGTTGGACGCCACTCCCCTTAGGTCGGGCACGTCCCCCTCTAGTCGGATTTTGGACGTTAAATGATAAATAGTCCAAAAATGCACTAACATAGCCAAAACATACTCAAACACATCGTCCCCTTACGATTTTTCGACTGCCGAGCGCGCCAGGGACTGCGCCAGAGGCGCCGCCAGGCTGAGTCCAGCCAGCCAGAGCGGACGTGGCTTATGCAAACTATGTCATTTTGTTGCCTACGAGTTCGAGAAGCACAACAGGCCCCAGAGGTCCCGACCGCTTCCACAGGGTGGGGTGTTTCGTGCCAAGTTCATGCTTGATGCATCCGGTGGCTGGAGCACCTCCTGGAACCGACGAGAACCTCGAAGCACGACCGCTAGAAGCCGAAATCCACAAAGAACGTCGGGGTCGAAAAAACACAGCGCGCCTGCCCCGGACCACAGGAGGAGGAGGAGGAGGAGGAGGAGGAGGAGGAGGAGGAGGAGGAGGAGGAGGAGGAGGAGGAGGAGGAGGAGGAGGAGGAGGAGGAGGAGGAGCAGGAGGAGGAGGAGGAGGAGGAGGAGGAGGAGGAGGGGGGAGGAGAGGAGGAGGAGGAGGAGGAGGGGGAGGAGGAGGAGAGGAGGAGGAGGAGGAGGAGGAGGAGGAGGAGGAGGAGCAGGAGGAGGAGGAGGAGGAGGGGGAGGGGCTGATCTGGGAGGGCTGGCCACTGCGCGCTTGCCCCAGACCACAGCCCCCTGGCATCCGCGGCGGGGCATGAGCGGGAGAGCCGCGGGCTCCCGGGGGCGGGCGCGCGCGGGCGGGAGCGCGCAGGGCTCTCCTGAGGAGGGCGCGAGGAACAGGTCCTCGGCGGCCGTGGGTGTCCAGAGGGGGTACAGTCGGGGCGCTGACCTAAGGAACCCTGAAGAAGGAACGAGGCCCCTGTTTTCCATAAGTTGAGCTTCGGCTTCCCCTCGAGAACACTTGGAAAACGTGAGGCAAGCTGTGGAACACTTAAGGAACGCGGAGCCCCTTCCCAACGAACAGGGTTCCTTCTTCAAAACCCCTACTGTACGGCAGGCTCGTGTGGTGAAGGCTCTGGCGCTCGCGTCTGACACCGCGTGGATCGCTCAACCTTGGACGAACGGCGCCATATCGAATCGATGAATAGGGTCGCCGACGCGTTGGCACGACACGAACCTGCCGTAGTTAGGCGCAACGGGCTCGGGAGGGCAAAAAGTGGAGCAGGAGGAAGGGGGATGGAGGCCTCCCAAATGGGGCCGGGGCAAATGGGGTCGGAGGATCGCGCGTCATCGCCGATGCATCGGCGATGCGGCGCGACCTTCCGAGCCCGCCTCAGTGGAGACGACTTTGATCGTGTTCCTTCTCTTTGCCCTTTGCACTGGGCCTACGCCGTCGATGCTGGTGCTGTTGACTCTTCTCTACGACACTGCCCTACAATTACACCATCTGCACGTGCAAGGGTGTGGGAGGAGCGAGAGGGGGAGACAAGCTCGGTGGGCTCACGCCAGATCTGACCTCCCACCACTCCCACCCACCCCTCCCCAATGCATTAATTTCCAGTTTGTCCTCCGATGCGTGCCATAGCGGACCTGGAACTCCAACAACAACAACAACAACCATTTTACCCTCATGCGCCATGCTTCCACATGACAC